CTTTAGATTTTATAAAAATACTGTTGATCGGTGTATATATCTGAAGGTCAGTGGGAGTAAGTTTATATTTCTAGTCCTGTATGTTGATGATATCTTACTTGCAGCTAACAATCTTGGTTTGTTGCATGAGACTAAAAAGTTTCTTTCTAGTAACTTTGAAATGAAAGATATGGGTGAGACAAGCTATGTGATAAGGATAGAAATATTTCAGAACAGATCACAAGGATTGTTAGGCTTATCTCAGAAAGCATATATCAACAAAATACTAGAGAGATTCAGAATGGAAAAGTGTTCAGCATCACCCATTCCAAGTCAAAAGGGAGAAAAGTTTAGTCTCACGCAATGTTCTAAAAATGATTTGGAACGGAAACAAATGGAAGCAATTTCGTATGCATCTGTTGTTAGGAGTATTATGTATGGTGATAACCACGTCGCAATGGTATCAAACAAACTAGATTTTCTTAACAATTTTGCAATAGAAGGAGTAAACCTAGGTCATCTCACAAGGACATAAAATGCATTTTGTTTCTGGTTCAATCATATAATTTCATATTAGCTTAGGGAATGATTGTTTTGAATTAAATTGTAAACAACAGAAAAGAAAAGAACAAAGAATAATTTCAACGAAATATGAAGTTCAACTAATTTAAGATCTCAATCACTATAACACAATTCTCATTGTTACACGAATACAACGAATTTCCAATCAACACTAATTCAATACGACATTAACAATCCAAAATCTAAATCTAGATTATGAATTCCATCAAAAAAAGAACTACAATCGCAAATTCAATGCTCTAACGAAATTCAGAACAATTGATTGATTGAATTAGGTGAATTCCTTTATTTCAAATCTGAAATTCTCATTCTCTGTTTAGAATGCAAATGAAAATTCAATATCATAAAAAACATAATTATCCTAATCAGAAAAGAGGAGGAAGAGAGAGAATTTGATAGAACCTAATCTGAAACTCAAATGCAATGTAGTTCTTGAAACCTTGAACCGATTGATGGATTAGCCTTGCTCCATGATCATGCTTGCTTTGGCCAAAAACCAGAAAACACGAAAAGATAAAAGGTAGAGAGACGAAAATAAAAGAAGAAAGAATTTAAAATAGAGACTTTTTGATTTCTAAAAAAATTGCGAAAAAAGAAAAATAAGGATTCGTGCATGGAATCATAACCTCTATTTAAAGACAAAATAATTGGGCTTAATTAAGGCCCAACTCCCTAACGAGGTTCTTAAACACCTAACTAAGTAAAATCAACAATACAATCAAATTCTGAAAATTTTAGTGCAGGGCTGCAAAATTGTAACACAATTTTGGACCTGAAGATGTTCGAATTGGGCTTTTCTCCCAACAGAGAAGTTATAGATCTTTGTCTTATCTTTCCAGGGACACCAAATTTGTCCAATTCCGAGTAGTATAGCTCTAGATATGGTCTTTGCAAGAAACTGTATCAAAATAAGAAATTATGGTGGGAATTAAAAAAGATTTACATTTAAATCCTAAATTACTTACTAACACAAATCTAAACTAACACATCAAAATAATGCACTAATGAAGCTCAATTAAACCAAAAATATAGAGAAAAAGATGTACTAAAATATGACCATCATATGCTCAGACCTATACCAAACCGGATATAAGCTTTGCAGCTGGAATGTTGGGTAAATATCAGAGTAATCCTGGATTGAATCACTAGAAAGTTGCAAAGAAGGTTCTGAGATACCTGTAGAGAATGAAAGAACACATGCTTACGTATAGAAGGTCTGATCATCTTGAGGTGATTAGGTATTCAGATTCAGATTTTGTTGGATGTGTGGATACAAGAAAGTCCACTCTTGGCTATGTCTTTCTTTTAGCTGGAGGAGCAGTATCGTGGAAGAATGCAAAACAATCAATTGTTGTTGCATCTACCATGGAAGCTGAATTTGTAGCATGTTTTGAGGCTACAATTTAGGCTAATTGCCTGCGAAACTTTATTTTAGTGCTTGGAATAGTCAACAGTATTGTCAAGCAACTGAAAATTTATTGTGATAATTCTGCAGCAGTGTTTTTCTCTAAGAACAACAAGTACTCTAAGGGTGCTAAGCATATGGAACTAAAGTGCTTTTCCATGAAAAATGAAGTACAGAAACATAGAGTGTCAATAGAACATATTAGCATTAACCTTATGATAGCTGACTCTTTGACAAAAGGATTACTACTCAAGATATTTATTGAGCATGTTAAAAATATGGGCATTATTATTTATGATGATTGTTAAATGCAATGTTTACATTTTGTATTATGCACTTAATACTCTGAGCTCATTTATGGATATGTTTCTTATTATCCGTTTTCTTATATGCATGCATAATTGTATTAGAATAATGTAAACAGGTACTGTCTTGAATAAAGACATTATGTTTGACCAATTATGTACTTCTCACTTACCGGTCATATTAAGGAGAAGACTAATCTTGTAGTACATGAAAGGGATTATATCGATTAAGTGATACATGACCGTCGTAACTCAAATTAGTTCTTATTTTTAATTATGATTTATGATGTACTCAATGTATGAAATGATTTAGTCATGATAATGTGCATTATGCTTTTATTTATTAGACCATGATATTGGATAATGTCACATGAGTCAAGTGAGAGAATGTAAGACTTTAAATGTCTCATGTGAGGAGCACGTGACTTATCTAGGGACTGATAAGTAATTGATTAAATTATTAAGGACTAAATTGTAATTGAGTAAATAGGAAGTAGTTTTAAATTTTAAATAATTACTTATTAATGGAGTTAGCAGTTGAAAGTATATATATCAGTTTAAAAAGACTGTTCTTCTCCTGAACGTGACATATTTTCTCTTCACTTTACCATCAATAACATAGAGAGAATAGAAGAGTAGGCCAAGAAGATAGAAATCGGTTTTTTTCTGCTCTCATAAAGGAAATTCAGAACACAAGGATTGCTCTCTTTCTTCGTTAATGGATAAAGGTTAGTCATCTTTTATAATTATGCGTTATGTGAGAATTGTGGAATTTCAAGATCTTGTAATAGTTTTCTACTATTATTGATTACGTGGAAATACTTACATGGAATGCTTAATTTTGCAGCAGATTCCACTGTCCAAGGATAGAACATGTCTTTGGCTAGACAATCTGTTTTCAGATCCAGAATCAGAAGCTCAATTTGATCTCTGAGCATTGATATTCCATGACTAATTTTACCCAACATTTCTAGGGAAGTGCCATCTTTGAAGTTTTCAACCCCATCTGGGAGGCCAACTTGGGCTGCAGGGAATGGAACTACTTGAGTTTTGATGTGATATCCACAGCTGGAGTCACTGTTTATGGCTTTTTGGAATGCATTAGCATGGGTAGTGATAATGGTAACATTGACACCATGTCTGGCAAATAGCCTTGCTGTATCTACCATGGGATTCATATGGCCAGGAGTTAGATATGGTAGAAAAATGACATTGAGTTGGTGGGCTTGAGATTCTGTCATCGTGGCTATTTGAGATGTGAAAATAAAAAATTACTCACAGTTCCCTTTCCAAAGTCCAACCACAATCACAAATTGTACCTCTTTCAAGCTTCCACAAGTACGTCTCCAGTGATAAGTGACATTATTTTTATATAACCAGTGGATTAAAACAAATTTCATTCTATTTGTTTTGGTTATTACCTTGATTTTTAGCCGATTTTTGTTCTTTCCGTTATTTTTGGCATGTTTCTTTTGTTTCCTTCTGCTTCGTCCGGTTTGTCGAATAGGTTTATTGATTATTTGTTCCTTAATATCCTTTGAATTGTTTCTCCTTGTCTTTTCTTTTTTTTATTTTTGGTATGGGAACGGCTAGAAAGGTTAAAACAAGTTATATATATATATTACATAGTCAAATTTAATAGTATGTCAATGTCTATTTGTGTTTTGACAGACAATAAATTTCGTTAAAATGATTACCGAACTGTTCTATAGTTGTTCTAATAAAATTGCAAGAATCACTATTCACTACAGAAACAAGACATAGGAAATTTGATATTGCTACAAAAGAAACTGATTCTTCATCTGAGAGCCCTTGCAATAAAATCTGAATACTCATCAACTCAGCTTCTCAGAGATGGCTGTAACCAAACTAGAAATCCATTTGTTTGGATCTATAGAAAGAAAACCAGTTTTATTTTTAAATTCAAAGAAAAATAAGAAGAGGGAAATTTTAAATTTTTATATTAAAAATAACCTTCCTCTCTTTTATTTTTTTTCTCTTCATTCTAATAAAAATAAAATACAAATTTAGCTCCCGCAGGATCTGACTATTTTAGAGGGCAGTTTAAGTCAAGGCAACTATGTCCTTTCCTTTAGCCCCTATCTATAGGTCCATAATTTTTTCATAATATACAAATTATAATTTATAATAAAAATATTTAAAGGTTGATATAATTAATAAATGTAAATATAATAATAAATTTTACGTTTTAGCAGCTCAGGAATTAAGATGAAACTAACACATTAATCGTATAATGAGTCGTGTATTAAGATGTTACCTAGGTCATCTTTAACTGTGGAACACTCTAGTCTCACTGACATGCACTCTTAAAAGTAATCCACTTTTTTTTTAACAGTTTATGAACCTTGCTTTGACAAACAACATACGATTGAAGTGGTTATCGCTCTTAGAAATCGAGGTGAGGAAAGAATATAGCACCCGCACTAAGAACCAAAAAATTTTAATTCAAAAAATTTGGAGACTAGAACTAATTTAAAAAATAAAATTAAAATCTAACAAAAATATAAGTAATAATAATATATTCAAACTGTCTAATTAAAATTGAGGTAACATGTAAGTGTGTGACTAATTGGAAAGAAAGATTACATGCATGTCTAATGTCTTGGATCAAACAGTCCCCAAAGAGACATAATATTACTTGAGGTAATTCTGTTAGATAAATTGTTTAATTTGATTCACGCAAGTGTAAAGTCCTGTTGTGTGTTTAAAAAACATTAAAAGGGTTTGACTGCAATAGCAAATTGAATCAACAACTGTGTGAATCATTGTTACAAAATAAAAGCGGTTCATAAAATCACCCGCTGCACCTCCGAGAGCAACTAGATTAATGCTCCATTTCAAGAATCTAATATGTTTGTGCTGAATGCTCTTGATATCTTCAATGATTTAAGCTCATCAATCAACTGAATCAAGTTATTATAAGAGTGTCCACCCTCCCCTATAGTCCTCTTGGCAGCATCACCAAGCTTTCTTGCACTCCTTCTCATTTCTTTGCTCTCTTGGCTATTTTCCATCAAAAGCACCACAGCCTTCACAATCTCTTCCCTTCTCACCATTGCCTCTTCACCCATACTTGTCCAAAACTTGTTTTCTTTCACTCCCACTGGGACACCAATCTTCAAAACATCAACTATCAACTTCTCATTGTAAAACTGTTCTGCAAACATAGGCCATGTGATCATTGGCAATCCTACATTCAAGCTTTCAAGAATAGAGTTCCAACCACAATGAGTTACAATCCCTCCTATGGCAGGGTGGTCTAATATCAACAGCTGAGGTGCCCAGTTCCATATGATAAAACCCTTCTTGCTTTCTTTCATCCTTTGCTCAAACTTTTGAAGGAAACTTTCTTCATTACTCTCATCTCCATCCCTTTTCCTAATGACCCAGATGAAATTATGACAAGAATTTTCAAGCCCATGAGCAAGTTCAACAATCTGAGCATGAGGGAGCCTTGTTAGGCTTCCAAAACTTACATAAAGTACGGATTCATTTTGCTTCGAGTTAAGCCAATTTAGCCATTCTGGCTCCTCTACAAGGTCCATTTTGTGTCCTCTGTTGTCTTTTTGTTCATCACCCTTGTTACCCCATGCTGAAACTGGTCCTATACTCCATGTTTTGATCCCCATTGTGCTTTTGTGAATTTGCTCATAATCACTTTCAAGTTCATGAAAGCTATTGGATAGTGTCCCATAACTTCTGATCTCTGACTCAAAAATTGAGTTAAAATAGACTGTGGAAGGAGTCTTAGTCCTTATCCATTCTGCTAGCTGAAGAGGAGTCATCTCTATGGTTTGAGGAAAACCAGGGATTGTAAACTTCTCAGTATCAGATTCTAAGCTCTCATGAGGTCTATGCTTCCTGATAAAATGACTAGCACAGTTAGAAAAGTAGCTTGAACTGTAAAAGTAAATCCTTGGAATGCCTAGTTTTGCAGCAGATTCGACTGTCCAAGGATAACACATATCAGTCACTATACAATCTGGTTGCAAGTCATGAAACAGAAGTTCAATTTGATCTTGGAGCAGTGATATTCCACGAGCAAGTTTACCCAACATTTCAAGGGAAGTGCCATCTTTGATGTTTTCAACCCCATCAGGGAGACCAACTTGAGCGCCAGGGAATGGAAGCAATTGAGTTCTGATGGGGTATCCACAACTGAAGTCACTATCTATGACTTTTTGGAAAGTTAAAGCATTAGCATGGGTAGTGATAATAGTAACACTAACGCCATGCTTGACAAATAGCCTTGCTGTGTCCACCATTGGAATCATATGGCCTGGAGTTGGATATGGAACAAAAATGACATGTAATTGACGATGGGGTTGAGAATCCATTGCTTTTGCAATATATGAGGTTCTATTCCTCGGGAGAGATGTTTCTTTTAGACAAAAAAAAGAAAGAAAGAAAAAAGAGGTCTGGATGGTTTTCAAACCAATGTCTGAAAGAAAAACATCAAAAGCAAAACGTCAAGAGATTACAATGCAAATTTTCCGATGTTCAAGAATATATAATAAAAAATTAATAAATAGTAAGTTTTATTAAAATTATAACATCTAATATTATAAATTCATTGAATTTAATAACAAGGTATTTTTTAATAAAAATTTACTATACATATATTGTTTTTATTGTATATTTTTGGACATTAAGTTAGAAAAATCAATCATAATATAAGCCTAGATCAATATAAAAATCCCTAGGAAATAAAAAAAAAAATTGTAGAAACATACCTGGTCCAGAAAACTCCTTGGAAATTCTCTTCCTTTGTCACCAAAGATGGTGTGTGTGTGTGTGTATTGCTTCGTCCTTGAGAGTATGATGATAAAGTTTTGAGTATTGTCGCTCAGTGAAAAGTTATGCTTAAGGTGGTAACGTCAGAGGGATAGTTTTATTTGAGGTGGCTAGTATTTTCTTATGTTTTCCAAGACCGTAAACCAAGCCTGCATTTCTTTCAATCACTACAACAAAAATAATTTTTAATGGCAATAAAAATAGCCATTAAAAATTTTACCGACAAAAAATTATTAGTCATTGTATTCAATGTCGGTAAAAGTTTTACCGACTATTATAAAGAATGCTGGTAAAAACTTAATTTATGGTCGCTAAAAACCTCAACTTATACTGACAAATGTTAACAATTTAAATGGCCACTAAAATCAATTTTAAATCTTTTTATTCATTTACTAGCCTTTATTTACTTAAAGGTAATTTGTAGCACAGAACTACAGATATTGTTATGCACTCAAATTCGTAGTATCCAATCTACTTATTTGAAATGACATGTAAAAAAAATGCTGTGGGCATCTAAAATAAATCAAGCACAATATATTTTATCAAATTATCTGTTCCATACACTCCTAAGAACAACATTCGTATTTCATTAAAAAATTATTACAATGTAACGATCTCACTTTAGACTATGATACAAAAATAACTTGTCTCCTTCAATGAACATTTGTAAACCAAAATGACTTTCAAAAGTCCTAACCTCAAAGGACTACAGCAATGTGGTGTTGGCTGTACTACCAGGAGAACCACCTCGAAAATCATTAGAAATAGCAGCACATTGACATTCACAAGGTTTGATACACAAGCCATCAGAATTAGAAAACAATGTAGACACGTTCAGTAGAAACAAACAAAACAATAATTTATTCAGCCCAAACAGATGATAAATGACAGTAAAAAAAATCAACAAAGAAACGCTAAACTATTGCAAAGCAAGTTGCTTATTCCTTGGAAAATATTTATCTCCTCCAGAATCCAAACAAATGATACCACATATTCAAGGGCAACACAGCGCAAGATGGGGCAAATAACCAACACAATTACTCTGTTTCACTTTTTATTTTCATATCCTACTGTTGATTTGAGATGCAAAAATAATGTTTGTTACTTTGTTTAGCTTTGGTTTCTTTTTTCACAGGGTCGGCACAAAGAAGGGAGGGAGCTGACAAATAACCATATATTGAGCATTAAAAAAATTAAAGGCTGACCATTTATACACCAAAAATCATGTTATTGCAAATGATATCAAATTTGAGCTTTGATTTCCATAATAAACAAGGTAATCAATCTCACAGTTGGCATTTTTCAAAGAAAGTGAACACAAGCATTCATTTAGGGTAAATCAATTGCAGATCTCATCTTTAAGAAATGATGAATAAACCATTAGAAAATAGAGCAAACTGGTTTACTTACTAAGATTTGATGTTGAATTTAGTTTAAAACCAAATAAGAAGTTATTTAAAAAAAGACTCATATATCATGGGTTCCCCCATACAAAACAAATATTTGCAATGAACAGAAATTAAAAAATAGAAAAGACTTAAAATAAACCAAAGCCACCACCATAACAGCCACATAGTGTACATATATGCATGTAGGAACATAAATAACAATAAGAAACAATTAAAATTTAATATAAGCACCTTGTCATTTACTCAAGAACCTAGTTTAGGTAAAAACTAGAGAAAAAATGTTTTATAGAAATTTCACATAAATACTACATTCAAATACTACACCATGTAAGCCTTAATTAACATCTAATACAAATGGAACCATAACAAATAGAAGCAGAGGTAGTGAAGCAGAAACAAATTACAGCAGTCCATATACCCAAAAGCAAAGATTTCATTGTCTGCATGCAAGAAACCAGCACAACCATTTAAAACATTAGCATCCAAGAAGCCATCACAAACCTGAACAAAACACCAATTCAAAACTCAAACCAATCATTAACATTTAAAAACAAAACGAACTGTCAAAATAGATAATTATTTCTCAAATGCTAATTATAATCAACAACAAAAACAAACTTTAATCAACATCAATTATAACATGAAGACCATACAATACAACATAATATATTTTCTACAACAGATAGCTATCTAGAATAGCCACCCATATTGCAATCTTTATTTCTCTTTCTTCTCTCACTCTCTCTCAAAAGATATCTAAGAAAATACACACAATTACACAAAATTTTCCATCTCAACATCCATGCCCCTCCATTCACCCAGAGAATCCGATAAAAACAACCACAGTATCATCATCATCAATAAATACACAAAAAACATAAAAACAAAAAAACAAAAAAACAAATGAAACCAATAAGCAGGATCCCTCTCTCCTCCTCAACTAAACATGCAGAGAAAATCAATGAAAAAATTGAAAGAGAAAATTCACAAAAAAACATAAGACCTGAAAACTCACCTTGCAAGGAGAAACTACGAGTCTATTATGTTTATGGAACTGGAAGTCAGAAAATCAAGTGGACATTTGATTTTAGAAAAAAGCAAGCGAATAGAGCGATCTATGTAGAGAACAAATGATGATTAACAAAAAATTAGAAAAAAAAAAACTAATACTAGTTTCAGCATCTAAAATGTTAGCTAATATGCCAACAATTAAACATGCAAAATGATGAAAATGGGAAATTAGGTTAAGAAATGGAAATGAGAGGATTACCTGTGAGAAGAGAAGCAGCACAGATGATATTAATCTTCTTGCAATAGCTGGAACACTTGCAATATAGCCTAGAACGGAAAACTTGCTAGATGCGGAGAACGAAAGACTTGTTGGAGAACAATGATGTAAAGTTATTGATTAACGTACTGACAAATTATTTATGGTCACTGAATAATTGCCACTAAAAATTACTTTAATATTCCTCAAGCATCTTTTACCAACTCCAATTCATTATAGATCATTTGACTTCACTTTGTGTTTGCATATTCTGTTATTTGTATTATTAATTGCATAGTGGGATGTTCCAACGAAAAAAAATGCATAGATTAATAGAAAGCCATTCCTAAAGAAAACAAGTTTGGCGACCAAATATAGAGTCTTGGTTATGGTTATAAGGGTTACAGTTCTTTTGACTGCCAAGGCATCACAAGGGTCAAGGTGGCAATTAAAGGGAAAAAGACAAATGAGTTTTAATTAAGTTTATTTGATAAGCGATTATTATTAGGCCAAAAATTATAGTTGATAACACGGTAATAAATTCAGGAAATGCAATTTTTTAAACCTTATTATCAGTTTTTTCGGGTCGCTTACTCCTTCTCGTCTTAATGAGTTACTGTTTTCGGTGTGTTCGAACAAACAAGCTCTTAACTCTGTTCGAACAATCAAGCTCTTATTTATTTATTTTTATCTAAAGTCGGAGATTACACAGTGTCTCCCACTTCAATGGCTTCAAGACCGATCTCTGTTTGCGATTTGTAATTGATGTTGCCTCAGAAAAATTTTGTACGCAGTAAAGTTTGAACACAACTTTTTTTTTTGGTTAAATAGATTGATCGTATATATGTGAAAAGCTTTTAGTGCAGTTTTCTTTATCCTTTATACTAATAAAAAAAAATTATTTTTAAAATGTTACTAAAATATAGCTGAATTAGTGAAGTGATTGAGAGCTTTTTCACTTTTATTGTTGCACTTCAATCACTTAAATAATATTTTATTTAATGTTGATAAATTTAAATTATTTTAAGTTTTCATATGATTGTTTATTATTAAAGGTAAGAAAGACTTTAATCTCTTCACTCCACTTCAATCAATTAAATAAATTTATTTTTTTAATATTGATAAATTTGAATTATTTCAAAAACTTTTATGGTTTGAAATGGAAAAGACCTCGAACACTTTATCGTTCTCAAAACGAGAAGTTGATATCGATTTTGGATAAACACGACACCAAATTTATCAACATTAATGTTCTTTAACCAAATGACCATTTCATCGAGGAAATTCTCATCACCCCTAGACATGTCACCGTTCAACATCGACCTCGGTCAGTGAAATCGCTCTTTCTTCTTTCTCTTCCTATCATTCTCTCACTGTCTATCATTTTGTTGTAGAGCTCCAAGAACATTGAAGGATATCCCTGTCATAAGAGGTATATTTCCTTCTTTTTTCTGATTAGATGATTATTCTTATGTGGAACTAGTCTTATCTGCTTCTTAGTTTTTCATTTTTTTTAAGTGATCGTTAATACATTTAAATCTTTTGGAAGGTGGTTTGAAATTGGTTTTAATACAAAATTATCATACAAATCGTCCCCTCATTTCTAACTTAGTACTCATTTAGATATGCGAACTTCGCAAGGCAATTAACATCATGCAAGTTTGATGTGCAATGGACTTGACAGGTAATTTAAGAATTATTTTTCCATCTGATCCCTTAAGATCCTCATTGCCACACAAAGCTTTTCTTCTAATAGACCTTTCTTAGCCTTAATAGAAGTATAATTTATGTTATTGGATTTTGTGGTAATATGCATGATTTTGTTGTTTTAATAATGCATATATTCTAATCCTTATTATTTTATTTTTGGGTTTTCCTATTCTTATCATTTTGTGACATTTCTGGAGTAATTTTGTTTGTATCATCATAGGTCATGAAGGTAGTGATGGATTGTATGATTATATTCCTTCTCTTCATCACATGATTGCAGATACAACAAGTATATTTTTACTTTTTTAGTTCGTATAAATAAACTTGTAATATACTTTTTTTTGTTTGTGATAATAGTTCTTAGAATAGAAATAAGTATTAGGTCTCAATAGTTTTTCTACAATTTTTCATAGGAAGCAAGTGAATTATAAATGGGTCTTCAAGAAGAAATAGAGTTACTGGAGCAATATTTAAGACAAGAATTAGGACAAATGATTTTTTATAGAAAAAAAAAGATAAACTATTATGAAGTGTTAGTTGCTCGTGATAAAATATAAGACTATCCAATTTTTTTTAACTATAATAAGTATTTTAAATTTAGAGTTTAAATAGCTTAATGTAAAAATTGTTTTCTTTCATAAAAATTTAAATGAGCATATGTATATATTATAACCCAATAGGTTCCTCGAGGCTAAAATGGAAAACTATATATGTTTGTTGGAAAAAAAATCCGTGTGGCTTAAAATAGAGCCCAAGACATTGGTATAAAAGGTTTAATATTTTTATATTTTTCAAAATTTTGTTTGTAATTAGTTTGATAATTGTATCTATAGTAAGAAGTTGTCAAATGGTTCTTATATTTATTTGTTGCTATGTAGATAACATGTTAATTGCATTTAAGAGTAAGGTTGAAATTAATAATCTCAATGTGATGTTGAGCAATGAATTTGAGATGATAGATATAGATGCAATCAAGAAAATTTTGGATATGAAAATATGGAAAGGTATGAGTAAAGGTTTACTTTATGTATTTTATAAGAAATACATTAAGTATTATCTATGTAGCACATTTTAAACTTGATAACAGCATAATTTCTAGTACAAATGAAAAGAAGAATTATATATGAGTATAGTTTCTTATTCTAGTGTCATTAGAAGTATAATGTATGTTATGGTTTATGTTAGACCAAATTTAACTCATGCTATCAGTGGTGAGTAAATGTATAAGTAGTCCTAACAAAATCCATTAGATGCAATAAAGTGAATTATGTCATATTTAAATGGTACTAATGATATTTACTTAGTTTATAGTTTTGATGGAATTTATAGTGGTTTTGTTGGCTATGCATATTTTCATTATGGAAGAAATCTTGTGAAGAGAAAATCATTGACATGTTATATCTTCACTTTTTATGGATGTGTTATTAACTAGAAAATAATACTCTAGCCTACTATTACTTTGTTATAATAGAAGCAATGTAAATGTGATTGATAGAAGGGGTTAAGGTATAGGTTACATTATCTTATTATTAGTTTGAGTTTGGATGCACAAAGAAGTGTTCTTTATTGTGATAGTCAAAATGTATTGAATTTGGCTAAAATTCTAGTTTATTATGAAAGATCAAAACATATTGATGTTAAATTGAATTTCATTAAAGATGTGATTGAAAACAAATTGTTCTCTATAAAAAAGATAGCCACCATAAATAATCCAACAAATATATTAACAAAACCTTTGTCTACAAAGAAGTTCAAGTATAGCTTGGACTTGGTAAATGTTCATGTAACATGAGATCTTTCAAGGTGTGTTAATAGAAAAGTTGTCCTTGATTGCTAATATTTTGAGAGAATTAATGTTAAAGTGAAAAACTATTGAGATACCTTGAATTTATATAATGACTTCTAATAACTTGTATCTCTTAAATTATTCTACTTAATGTGTTGTAATGGAAAATTTTCAAAGTTATTATAATGAGTTATGAGTCATTATGTTACAACTCAAATTAAATTGAAATTTTACTTTAATTTTTTATTTTTATTTGATTCAATTCATTCCTTTACACTATCCTTCTTCGTCTTTCAATTTTTAGTCATTTTAAAGATAATTTGTTATTTGATTGGATATGAGTTTATATTAAAGATGATTAACAATAAAAATTAAATATATGATATTTAATCAACAATAATGAGTTAAAAACAAATAATTAGTCAAAAGTGATTTCTGAGCAATTAAAAATATTTGTAGTGATAATTTGAAATTCTTTGATATTGATTTAGTTGTAAAATGTATAAATAAATTAAAATTAAAAAACATTTAAAATATTATTTTTATTGTGAAGGTCTTTTAAGAAATTAAAAATAAATTTGTTTATGTTAAATAAAAATATTTATTATTTTAAAATTATAAAAAATAATTTTTAGTTTTTATGATAATTTAAAATATTTAATATAATATATTTAATATTTTTAATCATATCTTTAGATACATATTAAAAAATTGTTTCATTAATTAATTTTTGAGAATAATCTATTGCCACATATTAAATATGTGTTGAATTGCGATAAAAAGAGAGATAAAGAAAAAAAATGAAGGGAAAAAGAGCAATATAAAATATAAAAATTAATGTGATAAATATATAATAATAATAATAATAATAATAATAATAATAATAAATGTTAACAAAATAATAAGTGTAAGAATTAAAGCATTTCTTCAAAGTAATATAAGTTGTAAGTTATTTTAGGTATGTATATAATTTTAAAAATAAAATGAGTTTGATAAAAATTGAACTAAATTGATTTTCAACTTAATTCAAAAATTATTTTCTTATTTTAAAACAAAATAAAAATAGTTTTAATTTTAGTTTAAATAAATTTTTTATTTTTCAAAAAATTGTAATTGTTTATGCAGTTCTTTTTTAAGTTTAGTCCCTTAAAATTTATTTTTATTTTCATGTGATTCCCGTATTAGTAATTTATAACTTATTTTATTACTTTTTTATATATAACAATTGAGGTGACTCATAGTTTGATTATAACATAACATAAATGAATTTTCAATTTAAGCATTCCCTCACCGTTGTGCATGTTGTAACTTGTAGGATCCGTATTGTTGCCGAGATTTTATGGGCCCAATTGTTGAACTTTTGTGCCACAGATTCTGCCTGAATACGGCCCTAAATTGAAAAACATTTCATGAACTAAAATAAAGTAAAAGATAGGACAATTATATTCAATATCACATATAATGCTAAATCTTAATGTTTCAAATAATAATTTTTTTATTAACTTTGTTTTGATCCTTAGTGGACAAGAGACGAAGCTCTCATCACTTGATCTAGAAAATTTATTGTTGAAAAAAATGGCAAAAATTTTGAAAATTTTCTTCAGATAAAAAATTAAGATAACACAATCTTTATAACACATGGACCTTTTTTCTTAATTATTCTACAATTTCAGTACACTCATATTTTTCAAAATAAATATTTAAATATTTTATAATACTTAATACTAGTATAAAAAGAAGAAAATTTTTGATATAACCTTAAAAATGTTCCTTACTATTGTGACTTGAAATTAATAACTTAAAGCCAATATATAGCTTTGATCTGCCTCTATTTTTACAAATCTAAACAATATTTGTTTCAAGATAATTTTTTTCAGTCAGCTTTGATACTTATTCTCAGCATATTCTTAAATATCATGTTACATTTTTACACGTCACATCAAAATCTTTTGCAGAAGAATTAATAAGACCATGGAGATGTTACTTGATAAACCAAAATAGACGTTTAAAATTTTATCCATCAGAAGATTTCTTTTTCCTAGCTTAAAATCTTGAAAGTATGCAGATGGCAGAGTAAAACTAAAATATTCGTAAATCAGACAGTGCACAAGTTACTAGCTAGCTGAACTAAAAGTTTAGCTGGAAGAAAAACATACAGGGTTGCTATTTCATCTTATTTAAAACCTTAATCAGCTCCACCTCCCAAAGGACCATGATCACTCTTCCATTTAAATTATCTAATTAGTTTTTTCAAGTGCTCTCGATCTCTTCAATGATTTTAGCTCATCTAACAGCTGCATCAAGTTGTTGTAAGAGGATCCACCCTTCTCAATAGTCCTCTTGGCAGCATCACCAAGCATTCTAGCTCTCCTTCTCATTTCTTTGCTCTCTTGGCTACTGTCCATCAAAATCGCAACAGCCTTAACTATCTCTTCCCTTCTAATCATTGCCTCATCTCCCAATCTCATCCAAAGCTTGTTTTCGTTGGCTCCCACTGGAACTCCCATCTTCAACACATCAACTAGCAACTTCTCATTGTAAAATTGCTCAGCAAACATAGGCCATGTGATCATTGGCAATCCAGCATTCAAGCTTTCAAGAATAGAGTTCCAACCACAATGAGTCACAATTCCTCCTACGGCAGGGTGATCCAATATCAACAGCTGTGGCGCCCAATTCCATATGATAAAACCCTTGTTGCTTTCTTTAATCCTTTGCTCAAATTCTCTAAGGAAATTGTGTCCATCTTCATCTCCATCTTTTTTCCTAATGACCCAGATGAAATTATGACCAGAATTTTCAAGCCCATGAGCAATTTCAACAATCTGAGCATGAGGGAGCCTAGTTAGGCTTCCAAAACTCACATAAAGTACTGACTCGTTTTGCTTAGAGTTAAGCCAATTCAACCACTCTGACTCTTGTGCAAGGCCCTCCCTGTGTCCCCTATTAACCTTCTCCTCATCATCCTTGTTAGCCCAGGCTGAAACTGGCCCTACACTCCATAATTTAATCCCGATGGTACTCTTATGAAGTTGCTCATAATCACTCTCTAGTTCTTGAAAACTATTGTAAAGTGCCCCATAGCTTTTGCTCTCAGATTCATACAATCGATCAAAAAAGCCACTCACAAAACTCTTTGCTCTTATCCATTCTTCTAGCTCAAGAGGGGTCATCTCTATTTTTTGAGGCAAACCAGGAATTGTAAACTTCTGAGTATCAGAATCCAACCCCTCGTGAGGGTTTTGCTGCCTGATAAAATGAGTGGCACAGCTGGAGAAGTAGCTTGAGCTGTAAAAGTATAACCTTGGAATCCCTAGTTTGGCAGCAGATTCCACGGTCCAAGGATAGAACATATCAGTGACTAGACAATCCGGTTTCAGATCCAGAATCAGAAACTCGATTTGATCTTTGAGCATTGATATTCCATGAGTGATTTTTTGCAGCATTTCTAGGGAAGTACCATCTTTGATATTTTCAGCCCCTTCGGGGAGACCAACTTGGGCTGCAGGGAATGGAACCAGTTGAGTTTTGATGGGGTATCCACAATTGAGGTCACTGTTTATTGCTTTTTGGAATGTTAAAGCATTAGCATGGGTTGTGATGATGGTAGCACTAACGCCATGTTTGGCAAATAGCCTTGCTGTGTCTACCATGGGGTTCATATGGCCTGGAGTTGGATATGGGATAAAAATGACATTGAGTTGGTTGTGGGACTGAGCTTCCATTGCCATGGCAATTGCAGTCTTTGATGGAGCACAATTTGGAAGAGAAAGGGTATGGTTTTCAATCTAAATGTGAAGTACTCGTCTTTTCGAGATGTGCAGTACTTATAATGGACCTTTACTTTTTAAGCCTATAAAAAAATGAAAAAAAATAATAGTGCAACATCGAACAACAGTATCCTTCATTCTGTGCAATCATAGGAAATGCCAAATTAACAGAAGAAATTTAAATGAATATAAACATAGTAGCAGAAACATACATGGTCCAAGGAAACCACTTGGAAACTCTCTTCCTTGTCTCAGCGTGTGAATAATGCTGGAGCTTTTAAAGTCAATGGGATATGTCCGTTGATGGAAGGTGAAACTTCATGGCATCGATTCACCTTTGAACTGGCTAAAGTATACTTAAAGCAAATAAATCCCTTGATTAAAATTTAGACCCTCGCTATGGTACAGTAAAAGTATATCTAGTCTACAACACTCCTTGGAAAATTCTTCTTTTTCTCACAAAAGATTGTCTGAATGGTGATGCTTACAAATATTGTCAACATGGATTTGAACGTTGATGGAGGCTAGAAACTTTGAGTGTTATCTACTTTTGTGGGTGAAAAAGAAAAAGAGTTGAATTATGAGGATATTCTTGCTTATTAGTCACTTCTTTGGGATTCTTTTTATATATACATTTCTTGGAAATTACAGCAGTTTATTTAATTATTTGTTCGAGCAAAAAACACATACAAAGCACAGAAGTGAGGAGAAAATTTTGAAACTCGAAGTAATTGAAAATATTTTAAAAAAAGAAAATAAAAGAAAAATGTGTATAAATCCACGTAAACAATAAAACCACATTGGCAGAGAATATTTTTGGGGAAACAATTTTTCTTTATTTTTATCAACAATGAAAATAAAAGATTATTTTTTTAAAATAAAAAAGTAGCTCTTAAAAATGTTGGGCTCAATTAGCACTATGCAAGTATAAATTAAAATTTTATTAAAGGTAACCAGTGATAAGTTTGGTCTAATAAAATTAGATTTTACAATACCAGTTCTAAGCATAAAATATATCAACATATAACGCGTAAAACTCTAATATTAAGAAAAAGATTACATAAAAAATTTTAAAAAATATTTCACTATATCAAAAAATAATTACAATACCTTTTTTATTCTTTTCATGTAAAATGTAGTATCATTTTAGTAAAATTTACTCATATTTAAATACTACAAAATTTATAATATTTTTTCTTCATACTCTCAATTTACTTATTTAATTAAACCCTGTTTTTCTCTCACTTCTAGAAACTGTCACCTCTCTCTCTTTCTCACAAAAGCTTAATTTTTGCTTTTTGCTGAAAAGCAATGTAAACAATGGCTTCTTGCATCTCAGTGGCTTTTCAAAAATTTTGGAACCGTAATTACATACATGTAGGTGAAAGACTTCCAACTCACTACATAATTAGGTGATGAATTATAGAGGTAAATTAAAATTAATGCAAAGTGGAAGTATTTTCTTAGATGGATCTCATGAAAAATATTTTCATTTAAAGAAGAAATGTCGCATTTCTATAGATAGAGGTAAATTAAAGAATACTTTAAACTCATAGACATTGTTAGAAGGGTTTTAGCTAAGATTTGGTGCCTTTTTTTAACTTGACCCACTGTTTATCTCTATGGCCAATACAAATCTTCATTATTTTTGTGTATTAAGTCATTTGGAAAGCCAGGTAACAGGAATCATGAATGATTATTCTAACTTTTTTGCTTTGTTATTCTAACATTGCACAAAAGGAACATATACAGTAGTATAGCAGACCATTACATGTTGGGCCTACAGAACAAGAAAAAATGTGGCCTACATTTCTAAGCCGAGGGAAGCTTTGAAATGTCCCAACTTGAGGACCACTTGAGGACCATGATGTGTTATCTCTTCCAAGTCAAAGAGAATGTTCATAGACCCAAAAACAAATCTGTTTTAAAATAGACAGTAATTTAAACTCTTAAACGTTTCAATTTGTTATTACAAGTTATTAATTTGATTCATTGTATTTATTCAATCCAATAAATCGTCATATGCAAAGTGCAAACGTGTGATAGTGTTATAAATTTATTTAATATTAACTATAGATTTATATAATGGGAGCTAGTTCTTTACTGGTTTTTTTTTTTCACTTTACAAATTATATAATTCTAACGAGAGAATTAAGAGAGGAAATAAAGGAAAAATTATAGTTTTGGGGAGAATTTTGGAAACACGTGATTTTTTTTTTCACACAGATTACGGAATACAAATTTGGCAAGATGCCCACTAGCACTTGTCACTTTTCAATTATTTGTTAATTTAAAAGTATAAGATCATATTAATTATGATAATTTTTAAAAATTAGGCTCGTATTTTTATTTAATTTTTAAATACATCGTGTTTTGTGATGAGGATGATAAATGTTATATTATAAAGTTAATTGATAATAATTTGTTATAATAAAATAAAAAAATTACACTTTTTAATGCATAATCTTATTTAACTTAAGTACCAACCAAATAAAGCAAAGAATTATTTGCGGACACCGCTCCATCATTGCCTCATTGGTCCCTCTTAACAATCCTTTTCTATTTCAGCCAAATTATAAATAGTAAAAACTAAACATTAATAAGATTTTTACATGATTTACTTAATATATGGCATCTTTTTTTAAAATTAAAATTTTAATTCAATAGAATATTTAATTAAATATTTATTCAACGAAATTTTCTTATGTAAGAGTTCTAAAATGCATAGTTGGTGAAAAGCATAATGCTTTGACTATTTGCCCTAAAGTAAACAGATATAAAACATTGAATTATGATTGAAAATGCATTGGAATTTGGAGATAGCGGGTGGGTCGTGCTCTCCTTATCTGCTATTCTGCTGTGCACCGTTTTGTGGACCCAATCCAACGCAAATAGCCCAACATGGAGACTAAAACGACGTGCCGTGTTCCCACAGAAGCAGGGATGTTTTAGGTATTTCAATATATAACGGCTATTTCTGCGGCTTTTTTTCTGGCTCTGAAATGATTGGTTCCCTCTTCACGCGTGTTTCAAACCCGTGAATCACCGGTCACCACTAAACCATGTACCCTACAGACTCCTATGACTTGGTCTCGTGACTCGTGAACTCTAGGTTCACACTTTCGACTCTTATTTCTCTAACTAAATGTTGTTTATTGAAATTTTTAGAAGCGACATTTTTATGTATTTTTTATATTTGAAATTCATTTTTAAAATACATGTATATTTAAAAAATTCAAATTTAATAAAAAATAAAAATATATAATTTATTAAATTTAATATCAATTATAATAATTTAAATAATAGAATTATTCTTTGATAAGTTATTTATTCTTAGTGTTATTTTTAATTAAAATTAATTTTTCATTTCAATACTTTGTTCAATAAAAATCACTTTTTAAATTATTGTAAATTTCCAAGATAAAATTTAATGTTAAGTAAAAAGTATTCCCTAAAGTAATAGCAGGATTACCGAAAGCTACTATCGTTTTTAATTGTTAATATATATATTTGCAATATTTAATGGTAGATGATAATACATTCATACGTTATTTTAAAATTATTATAATGATTATTATCGTAAGAGTTAAATTATTTTAATATTGAAACAATAAAATATTAAAATAATTTTATGGGATAAAATTTAGATTTTCTTATAATAAAGATGTCAATGTCATATCATAAGTTTGAATTTTATTAATTAATAATATTATAAAAATATCATATTTTTAATTAATATAATAAATATTTTTAAAAAATTATTAATATTATTATTACTCTTATTGAAAAGGCTAGAAGCAAAGAACATACAAAAGACATAGGTAGAGATAAAAATAGGTTAAGCTTTGAATAAATAGATCTGACTTGTCTAATAATTTTTAAGTTTAAGTCTGACCTATTACATGTTATAGACTTTTATTAAGCTTAACTTGACCTTTTTAAAAGTTTGACCTTTTTAGAATATGCAAAAAAATCTAGCAAGTAGCTCTTTCTCTAAGAGAATATGTAATAGAGATATTCTTCAACTCTAACGAAAAGAATTGAGATTTTTAATTTAAGATTTTATAATTTTAAAATTTAATCAATTTAATACATTGTTATATTATAATTTTTATATAAATTTTTTAATATATTATTATAAATTTTAAATAAGTCATTCTACTAGGCTTAATAGACTTTTTCTTAAGTTCAAGTCTAACTTATTTAATTAATTAAATTTTTTAAAAAGCTTAAATTAAGCATATTAATTAAATAGGTTAGGTCGGGTTAGGATTTAAATAGGCCTCTATCGAACGATTTGACCTATTTCCATCCTTAGACATTGGAAGTAATCTTCCAAATTCTAATGCCAAAAGCATCCAAATTTAAAAAAAAAAAAAAAGAAAGAGTCTTATCGAAATGACTTTTTTATAAAAATAAATTTTAAAAAAAGTAAAATTACATAAATGTCTTGTTATAAAAAAAATATATAAATATCTTGATATAAAAAAATTACATAAATGTCCTTATATCAATTTTAAAGAAAACGATTTAAATAGATTTTTTTTAAATAGAAATTATTTTGAATCGACTTTAGTTAGAGGTTAATTCGCCACATTTATAGTTGATTGAAAGTCAATTGAAACCATTTTTATTGGTGCGTAAAACTCGATTTAAATCGACTTTGGTTCAAGCTTACTTTGTCGCAACTCTCTTCCACAAAAGTTGATTAGAATCGATTTTAGTTCTATGAAAAAATCGATTTGAATTGACTTTGGTTCTACGAAGAAGTGGATTTGAATCGACTTTAGTTAGATAATGATCTAAATTGACTTAATTTTGTTGATCATGTTACAAGTAAATTATTAATAGAAGTAAATATTTAAAATTATTATTATATTTACTTGAGTTAATTTTAATTTTATTTGTCATTAATCTTTTTAGTGTTTAATTAAAAAGATGTAAAATATAAATAAATTATTGTATATTTAATTATTTATCTTTTATATATTTATTTTTTATGGTAATGTATTATATAGTGTGTGTTGTATATAAAACACATAATTTTTGTTACGTATTTAATCTGTTGATTATTTTACTGTAAGTGTATTTGATATTAGAATTTTTACTATTTATTGTCATAAATTAAATAATATAATTTTAAGCAAGTAAAAATTTAGATTATAACTTAGTGAATTTGAATAAATTTAAATTTAGTGTGTTAAATATATTTAGAGATTTTTAACTATTAATTCTTATTGTAATAATTTTTTTATTCATTTTAATGGACTTGATATATTAAGATAATCTTAATTAAATTATACTATTTGTTAAATTTATTTT